CGCAGCCACCTGTGCCCACACTGGGGGGGTTCCCCACCTACAACTCCCCTGGCGGCAGTGACATCATCATCCTCTGTGACACATTTGAAAACTGAGGCTCAGAGAAGTTAGATAATCTGCTCCAAAGGACCAGTGAGCGAGTGATGCAGATGGAAGCTGGACGTGGGTTTGCCTGATAACAAATGCCCGCCACCTGTCGGCCTCCCTGGAGACCACGGACCTGCACATCGCGGTAGGACAGCAGCAGGTTCATGACGATGTCAGGGCTCAGCAGCTCCACGCTGTCCAGTCTCCGCTGCAGGCGAGCCAGCTCCTGCCGAAGCTGCTGCCCACTGAACCGCTCCCGAGCCTGCCGGATAGCCTGCCGAATGGTCTCCCGGAAATAGCCACTGATGCCCAGGCCGGAAGAGGGAAGGAGAGAGAATGGTGGTCCTGTCCCTCAGCCCACCCTTCTCCTGGTGCACCCGCCCAGCGAGGCCCCCCCCTTACCAAGAGTCGGTGGGTGTGGCCTCCAGCAGGCAGGCAAGCCGGCCCACCAGGGGAGTGAGCAGGGCTTCCGTGCCCACCCCAGCCTGTACCAGCCCATCAGCCAGGCCCCTCAGGAGGCCTACATCACCACACAGCACCCGACCAGTGGCCGTCACCACATAGGGGATCAGTGTATAGCTGCCAGCGCAATCCTGGTGGGAAAGAGGCCGGAATTAGTGAAGGTCAGAGGTCGGCACAGAGTTAGAGAGGAGCAGGGAGGGGGTCTGAGGTTAGTACCAGTGAGGATTAGAAAAGTAGGAAAGGACCACATTTCACAAAGGAGGCTATAGGGAATAGAGGATGTCATGGGCGTCAAGGGGCCTTCAGAGGTCAGAGGTAACTGAGGAGGCCAGGAAGATTAGTGGAGGTCAGAGGCTACAGCTGAGGTCAAAGAGCACATTAGAGTGAGGGTGGGTTCTGCTCACCGAGTTCTTCTGGAAAATATCCTCCTGTAGGAGGCAGACAGTCAGACACTAGCATTCTGGGTGGGCCTCACCCCAGCCCTGCACCTGTCCCCACAAGCCACCCACCACCTACACGCAAGGCCTGCAGGTCAGGGAGGTCGGCCTGGGCGCAGAGGAGCACGTTGTTGGTCATGCTGAAGCTCTCACGTACGGCGAGGTGGTAGAACAAGGAGGGCTGTGCCAGGGAGCCGCTCACCTCCAGCACTACCACGTCTGTGGGCACAGAAGTCAGGCCCTGAGCCCTGCAGTCCCACTTGGTGGGGAAGGAGCCTGGGGGCGCCTGCTGGCCCCACCTGCCTCACGGTGGGACTCTGTTCTGGGCCTGTGGGCCTTGTAGAGTTTGCAGCACTTTTGTAACACTGACATCTGTGGTATTGCAGAGGAGTGGGCTCCCCGGGCTGGGACCCTCAGGCTAAGGACAGCTCTGTGCTGGAGAGGTGGTTGAGGGTGTGCAGCAGCAGCTCAAACGCTGTTCCAGAGTCATGGGAGGCAGGAATCCCCTCCCCTGGGTCCTCAACCCAGTCTCGAAAGCAGCCAGTACCATTCTTGTGTGTAGACAAAGCTATGCCTTTATGTGTGTATGTGTAACTCACTGTGTCCCACTACGTCTTTGTGTGACAAGGTCTGCCGCGAAGGGCTGTGTGTGTCAACATGGATGTGATTTGTGAGTTGATGACTCTATGTGTCTTTGTATCCTCGTGGTCGGGTCAGCCTTCATTTTTTAGGCTGTAATTCCATGGATGTCCAGGGAGCACGGTGCCCTGGAATCTCGGGCCAAATAAATAAGGATGGAGTGGGGCGGGCCTCCGGGTTGGCGGGAGTGAGGGGTGGGGTGATCCGCGCGGTAACCGCCTTCTAGCCCCGCCCCCGGCTCGCCCACGCTTGGCGGCTGCTAAATTGCCTCACCCAGAATTCAGACTGGATGGATCCCTTGCTTTCCTTACAGCCTCTAGGGCCCCATCGTTGGAAGTAGTAATACTAGGACCTCTGAAGTCAGCCCGTCAGGAACAGGCCCCACATTCCCTAGTCCATGCAACCCTTCAGGACTCGCCTTCAAAAGCTTCGCAGAGGGCCGGGACTTTAGTGGTTCTGCAGCCTGCCTTGCAAGTGCAAAGACTCGAGTTCGATCCCCGGTATCAAATAAAAAAGAAAGCTCCGCGATTGGTAGGGCGCCGTAGTGCACACTTGTAATCCCAACACTCTGGGAAACTGAGGGAGGAGGACTACAAATTTTAATCTGACCTGGGCAATTTCGCGAGGCCCTGTCTCAGAATTTTAAAAAGGGGTAGGAATGCGGCTCTGGAGAAGGCCCTGGGTTCAATCCCCAGTACCAGAAATAATAAATCTCTGCGTGAGATCAACCGAAGGCTGAGTTCTCCAGCGGCCCCTGAGAATCACAGTAGAACCACAGTCCTGCCCCATCCCATCCCGCTCCGAAGTCATGGCCTCTACTGAAGGGTGCTTAAGCTCCAACCCTGGGCTCCGTAGCCAGATGAATCTCCAAATCCAATCCCGAGCCCAGCCCCGCGAGCGCAGCCAGCCTCCGGATTCTCCTAAATTCCACTGCCTTCCAGCCTCCGGTCCCTCAGCTGGAACTCACTTTACGCCCCTAGACCGGCACCCAGCTCGGCACCCGCGCCCCGCCCCCGCACTCACCCGCGTTGTAGAAGGAATCCAGCGCGGTGGTGTCACCCAGCGCCAGGGTCCCAAAGGGCAGGCTACGCAGCTGTGGTGGCGGCCGCTGCCCGGAGAGCTGCGCACAGGCCTCGCGCAGGCAGCGCAGGGGCAGTGGTTCTGCCTCGTTTCCCGCCCCAGGCTCCACATCGGGCCGGGGATCCCGGGTCAGCACGTAAACCACGCTGAGCGGCCGGCTCCGCGCGCAGCCCCGGCCCTGGGGCGCATTGATCGGCAGTCCCCTGCTCAGCGCCTCGGCCAGCGGGTCCTGCCAGCAGCTGCCAGCGCGCTCCAAGGTCCCGGACCCGGGGCACAGCCCCGCCATGCGGGGGCGCTCAGGAGCCAGGAACCTGGGGCAGATCTGGAGCCTGGCGCAGTGAATACAGGGATCTCGGGTCCCGGAATCCGGTCTGGCTCCGAGAATCTCCTAGGGGATCTGGGTGTCCGAAGGTTTGCCGGATGCCCTGTTTCGGAAATCCGAAGTCCAGGGCAAATCAGCTCAGACTTGACAATCGGGTACCGGGCGATCTTCTGTTCAGAGTCAGTGAGAGATCCCCGGAATTGGGCTGGCAGTGTCGCCACCCGGACTTCTCTGGGAAGCGCCTGCCGGCCGACACTTAGTCCTGCCCTCACTTGTAGGCCAGGCCCAGCCCTTTCCCGATCGGGAAAGCTCCACCCTCGGCCCTGAGGCAGCGCCGCTCCCCCGCGGCTGGGGACTCGGCCTCGCCCCTCCCTCCTCTCCCGCCAGAACCTCTGACACTGGCCGCTTCCGGAACAGCCTGTGCCCCTGTTCAGCCAACCACTGTGGACTGCTCACCGCAGGGGCTCCAAAGATGAGGGCTCAGGAGGAAAAGTGAGATCTGCAGGCCCTGCCCTACAAGCTCTGTCGAGTGAGTGGATCTCAGAGCATCAGGTGTACAGATGCAGTGGTAAACAGTGGGCGTCCAGAACCCTTCAGTCCCAGAATGGGACCTGGCCTCAGAGCTCTTGCCCGGAGCCTGCTTGCCCCAGAATTCTGTCTGCTGTGGAGCCCCGCTGACCTTTGACTTTTCCCCAGAACATGACATTGGGGCCTGAGAAGCACTGTAACTCTTCTCTACTCACCCTGTGAAAGAGAATCTCAGAAACCTCAGCCCTTTGGGCTACAACCACATCTCGACTTCAAATCCCCCAAAACTTCCAGTGTGAATTAGTGACTGAGGTATCAAGTGGTATAAACCTCAATGGAACTGGGCATGGTAGCTCACGCCTGTAATCCTAGCACTCGGGAGGCTGAGGCAGGAGAATCACTGTGAGTTCGCGACCAGCCTGGGCTACACAGTGAGTTCCAGGTCAGTCTCAACTACACAGTGAGACCCTGTCTCAAAAAACAAACAAACAACAACAACAAAACCAAACAAACCTCAGTGAACCTTGCAATCAGGAACTGGGACTGGGGGAGGAGGTTGAGTAACTTGTCCAGGATCAGACAGCTATGTGACAGAGCAGGATACAAACCCAGGACTACCTGTCAGACTCTTAATTATTTGTTTCTGCCACCATTTAATATTGTTGTGGCTTTGGGCAAACGAACTGCTCAATAATTGCTAGCTTGGTGAATGTTTTTTCATTGCTTTGTTGCCTCATGGAAGAAAAATGTACCTTCCTTGGTTTGACCCTGGGTTCAAACCAGCTTCCTATGGGATAAGCAATAAGCAAAAAGCAGTAGGGGTGAGAACTTGGCCCGTGACAGGCTGGAGTGGAAAACAGACAACTTATAAGGGACAAGTATGAGCAACAGAGAGCATGAGAAAGTTGTGCGATTCCTGCCACAAAACTGCTCACTTAGCTGGGTGCGGTGGCATACACTTGTAATCCCAGCACTCAGGAGGCTGATGCAGGAGGATCTGCATGAGTTCGAGGCCAGCCTGGGCTACATAGCAAGTTCAAGTCTAGTTTAAACTACATAGTGAGACCTGTCTCAAAAAAACAAACATGGGCCGGGAATTTAGCTCCGTAGTTCTGCCGCCTGCCTTGCAAACGCAAGGTCCTGAGTTCGATCCCTGGTAAAAAACAAAAACAAACGAACAAACAACCTGTCTACTTGCAGGACACAGATGGCCCAGGAACATTATCGGTGGATACTTGAATTCCATCTGTTTCTTCCACTAGATGCCCCTTTGGCCTTGTCTTGTACACTTCCAGAGACAGAAGCCTCGTTCCCTCAGAAGGCCATTCCTAGCATTTTCCTGATTGGAAGGTAGTTCTTCCTTAAATGGGAAACTTAAGGGAACTTATGGCCTTGCCCTGCCCTATAGGGTTTTGCCCAGTAAGTGAGAGTCTGGAAAGCCAGGAAAGGGTTAAAGTGGTTTATTTTTAGATGTGGACAGGGAAGCAGGGGCAGCTGGCAATGGGGAGGTGGTGAGGGTCCGGAAGCTGCATAGAAAAGATAAGGGCACCATCTGCTAGGGTGCCCTAGCGAAGCATCATTTTAACCTTTCGGTAGGGGTGGCCCACGCCTCGGCCTGAGGCCCAGTCGATGCCGTATGGGGGGGGCGTGGCCTCAGACACTGTAGAGCCCCTTTTAACCTTTCGGTAGGGGTGGCCCACGCCTCGGCCTGAGGCCCAGTCGATGCCGTACTTGGGGGCAGTGGCCTCAGACACTGCGTAGAGCCCATTGAGATTGGATCGGTAGCAGGATCCATACCACCAGGCACCATGGACAAGCACTGCACAGTTGCCCTCTCTTGAATCGTGGTCAGCATCAAAGGTGGTAAAAGGTTTCCCACTATGGGAACTCAGGGAGTCCCCTGCAGGGAGAGGCCGGAAGGTACCTTAGCACTCCACACCAGGCCTGCCACTCTTGGAGAGTTTACCTTGGAGATGTTATCAGGCCTCTTGACATAAGAGCAGAAGCACAGGGCCAGATGTTTACCCAGAGCCACTCAGCTAGTCGGTGGCAATGAGATCTGAACTTAGGACTGTCTGGCTTCCAATTCACCAGCTCTTTCCCCTGCTTTACCCTCCAGAATCCCGTTTCCCTCTAGTTCCTTTGTCTCATCACAGTCCTGGTCAGCAGTCTGAGCAACTGCACCAGGAGGAAACTCTTGGGTGCCCAAGCAGGAAAGGGGGCTCCCCTGAGGCCCCACCCCATCACCACTTCCGCCTTTCAGATCCCTCCCTAGCACTCACTGCGGCTCTGAAAGAAGCCTTTCCTGGTTCCTCTCTCAGAGCAGAGAATGCTAACACTCAACGGAGCCTTGGGTAGCACCCACACCCCCATGCTACCTCCCCACCAGCTGTGTGGAGGAAGAAGCAGGCTCTGCTAGGGAAGGGACTTGCCCAAGGTCGCATAGTTAGCAAGCGGTAGAGCTGGGCTCAAACTGTTTTCCTCTAGGGCCCCAATTCTTTCCCTCCTGTGCCATCTTTTCCCAGGATTGCCATTTCCGAGATGCAGAAACTGAGGACCACCGAGGGGAAAATCTTGTCCTGGGTCATTCGTGGAGGTAGTGGTCCCCTCGTTAAGGCCCCATGTTAGTTAAGTCCACTCACCAGCAGTGCCCTCTGAGAACCTTCCCAGTGCCAGCTGGTAGTGGTCTTTCTCCCCAAGGAGGCGGAAGGTCTCATAGAGGGCAAAGGTACTGTTGCCAGTAAAGTCTTCCAGCTCTACTCGAAGCTCCCAGGTATCTGGGAGGAAGGGGGAGACTGGAATCATGGACTCGGAAGATCCCAGGGTGGCCCTCTGGGAGGCAGGCCACACCCTGCAGGCCTCTACCTTACTGGGAACTCACCGTGCTGAGTGAGCTGGTGCAAATTCTCATTCCCCAGCCAGAACTCAGACTCCTGGCTCCCAAAACCTGCTTTGTAGGAAGACCACGGGCGGAAGAAATCCACAGAACCATCCTGTCGCCTCTGGAACACCTGGGGAGCCAAAGGGACTGGCACACCAGCTACGGCTCCAGCCACACGGTGTGGGCAAGAAAGCAAGGGCACGGGCAGTTGAGGCGGTGGGGGATGGGCAGGCATTTCCCTTCTTTCGCTGGGGACTTGTAGATGAATGTGATTCCGCCTGGTAGGCTCTGCCTGTGAATATACTGCACTAACTCTGCTCCTTTATTAGCTAACACTCCACCAGGAATGCAGACCTTGTAAGCTCAGCAGGGACAGGGGAGAACTGAAGGACTGGAGCGCTATCGCCGCCCTTGGGAGATGGTCAGTCCTGAGCGGACAAAATAATCTGTTTGAATTTACCATGCTAAAAATTAAAATATTTAGTCAGGCGTGGTGGTGACACTTGTAATCCCATCACTCAGAAGGCTGAGGCAGGAGGATTGCTGCAAGTTCAAGGTCAACCTGAGCTACATAATGAGACCCTGTCTGGGGAAAAAAAAGAAATTAAAATATTTAAATCAAAGATGTTACTCCCAGAGACTCAAAACTGGACTTGGCTTTATCCTGCTGTTCCCTCGCCTTCCCCATCAACGCCAAGCTGTCCCTCAACTCTGAAGTTTCCCTCCTAAATATTTTCTTAATCCAAGTATCTCTAATTCCACTGTTGCCACTTTCCACTGTCAGTACTGTATGGGTTACACTTGCACTGCAGTTATGGGCCCCTGAATTCTTCTAAAGGGTGCCTTGTCCAGTGGGCTCTAGTTTCCCCCTAGGGGCTGAGGGGAGAAGTGACCACTGAGCCTGGTTTGCTCTTCCCCTTTCTCACTCACCAGCCAGCCACCCCCTGCAGTGTCCATGTCACAAAAGACTGGGAGGACCCTGCCCTCTGGTAGGCACAAGTGATACCAGCCACTCAAGGTGGCACCCTGACTCAGCAACTCCCGACAGCTCCTGGGGCCTAGGAAAGGAAAGATCTGCTAGTGGGGTGGAGGGCAAGTTATTTCCCAAACCCCTCCACCCAGATACTGGAAAAGTGTGTGACTCCAGGAGTCCTTGTGACTCCCTTGGGCTCCTGAAGAGGGGTTCTAGGGAGGCAAGGGCTGTGGGGACCGGTGAGGCCACATCTGGGGCCCTGAAACACCACGGCAATGCCTGATTCCAGATTCTTGGCTCCTATGAAGGCCACCTCACCCTCCTGGCACCGGAGCAGGTTCACTGGATCTCCTGTCCCAGGGAAGGACCGAGTGTTGATTCCAAGGTGAAGTCTGAGCAGAGCATACCTAGTGGGGTGGGACTGAGGCCCTTCTAATCTCCCCATTTCTCCTGGCCTTCCACCCTCAGTAGGTGGGCGATCATAGCCCACTGCTGAGCAGCAGCCCCAGAGACGTCCCACCCTCTAGTCTGGGGACAGAGCAAAGAAAGGAAGGGAGGCCCCAGTCCCACACACTTACCTGGCTCACCCTTGGGACCCATCTTGCCCGGCGGCCCAGGTGGCCCTGAAATCCCAGAAGCGGAGATGCCCTGAGTGCTGCCTCATGCCCAGGACCGAAAGAAACAAGAGACTTGGAGCCAGAAGGTTCCAATCTCATTTTTACCCTTTCATAGCTCTGTATTTGAAGGCTAAAAACATCCTCCCTGGGTTGGGGATTCACCTGTCTTGAAAGCGCAAGGTCCTGAGTTCGATCCCCGGTTACAAAAACAAAACAAAAAACATCCTCCCTGAGCCTCAATTCCCCTCAGCAAAATGAGGACAATACCACCCACCTGCAAGATATTAGGGTGCTGGTGCCTGGCACCGAGGAGGTTCCTCAGTCCAACTGCTACGTCTCCAGCCTCCCCAGATTACCCAAGGGCCCTGCCAGCTCCCCAGCATCTCTCACCTTGCGGACCTGGAGCTCCCTTCTCCCCAGGACTTCCTGGGGCTCCAGGACAACTGGGCAGGAGAATAACTTTGCTGGCTTCCAGTTCTCTCGACTCTGCAGGGAGACGTGGGGCCAGTGGGCACAGGGTAGACATGTCTGTCCCAGAGGCCTCTACAGTTCTAGCTCCACCTTCCACCTTGCGGCTGGCAGGATGCTTGTCTGCTGGGTGGGTAAGGGTTTGCACCATTTCTATCCTTCTTGCATATATTTGCGTGCAGAATCCAGACTGTCAAACTCACCCTGCTCCTTGGGGCAGGGATTGAGAGGTGGGTTGGTGGAGAAAGCGTCCTCAGCCCCTACCTGGGCATCTGGGGTGTTCCTGAGTCCTCAGGCAAGCAGGCTCCCAAAATAGGAGGAGCAAAGACAGTGGGGTCCACAGTAGGCCCATCTTGGCTGGGGCCACCAGAACAAGGATTCCAGCTTTTATAAGAAGCCAGGTTCATGGGAGAACCTGGAGCAAAACTTCCTCTCATTGTCCCCCAGGGGGCACCCCACCCAAGCTGGAGCCAGCGGCGGGTGGGGCATTTCCTCTCTGAGCCCCAGAGAGAACAAGCATTGTCTCTGCCAGGCTTCCAGAGCACCCCAGCCACCTCTCCAGACCTCCACCTTCATGTGGATTTTCCTGTTTATTTATGTGACACCAGGAATGAAATGCAGGGCCTCACACATGCTAGGCAAGCACTCTATCACTAGGCTACATCCCCAGCATTTTAAAAATTTTTTTAGACAGAATCAGTGCTAATTTACCCAGGCTGGGCTGGAATCTGTAACCCTTCTGCCTCACCCTCCCAGAATGCTGGGGTTACAGTCATGTGTTACCACCCTCCTCTGATTCTCACCTTTAACCTTAGCTCATTCTGTGCCTTCTGTGTGGAATTCTTTCCTTTTTGCTTCCATCTGTCCCTAAGGGTCCAGCCCTGAGGCAGTCTCTACTACCCTGGTCCTTCTTGGGCTTTGTTAACACTATTTCTAGTGATCACTGCTTAGGGTACTTGCCTAGCATGTGCCAGGCCCTGGCTCCACTGAAAAAAGGAAAATAGTGATGATTGCTAGTATTTATAAGGTACCTGCTTCACTCAGAGGTCAGGCTGATGGTGGTTGTACGTCACCCTGATCCCGATGTGGCCTTGCTCTTGGCTGTGGGTTACATGCCTGGTACAAAGCAGGGGCTCAGGGGCTCGAGTAACACTCTGTAAGTGGATGCAGGCATAGCTTGGTGGAAGAGCATGTACTTTCATGTGACAAGGCTCTGAGTGCTATGCCTACAATGAAATATGTATATGTTTAATGCCTGGATGCTTATGTATTTTATACATACATATGTTTTGTTTTTGTTTTCTGGTACCAGGAATTGAACTCAGGACCTTGTGCTTGCCAGGTGGTTGCAGAGTCACTGAGCTACATCTCTGGCCCCTTGTTTGTTTTTGTTTTGTTTTGTTTTGGTACCGGGGATTGAACTCGGGTCCTTACGCCTGCGCTTGCAAGGCAGGCGGTGGAACCACTGGGCTAAATCCCTGGCCCCCCTTGTTTGGTTTTATGAGACAGGGTCTCACTATGTAGTTCAACTGGCTTTGAATTCACTATGTAGCCTAGGCTGGCCTCAAACTCGTGGTGATGCTCCGGCCTCAGCCTCCCAAGTGCTGGGACTACAGGCGTGTGCCATCTTACCTGGCAATTCATTCGGTGAACCCTTCCTGAGGGCCTGCCCTGTGCCAGGCCTGGTGCTGGTGGGGATGGTGAACGCTGGTGTACAGAGAGGTGTCAGGGGAAGTGGAGCCTGGACCTCCCTAACAGGATGGGTCCCTGTGAGGCCCCCAAGACTGCAGTACCAATCTAGGAATCTGTCCTCTCTGGCCTTCACATGTGTGCCAAGGACTGCAAACTAGCCCATTCAGCATGCTGTTTATGAATCTGGGGTGCAGCTCAGTGGTGAGCACTAGTATGCTATGAGCCCTGGTTTCATCCCCAGCACCCCTACTCCCCCAAAAAGGTCAATATGGAAATGACCCCCCCCCCAGCCATTGATAGAATCCCGGCAAATCAGTGACAGCCATCTGGACACCTATGTGAATCTGATCTGTAATGGTGGGGATAAAGTCACAGAAGACCATGTAGCACACCGTGTAGCGCATGGTCCCATTTTGTGCTGTAAAAATGCTAAATATGTGTATATACGTAGTAAATTCACAGAGAATAGAAAAAACACACTGTTAACTTTTTTTTGGAACCCCAGTATTGGTGATTGAACCCAGGGCCTTCACACTGAGCTCATCCAAGTCTTTTTGTTTTTTGTTACTTGTCTAAAGACAGGTCTTGCTAAATCACTGAATTGCCTGGGCTGGGCTCAAACTTGCCTTCTAGTCTCAGCCTCCCAGAGTAGAGGGGCTGTAGTGCACCACCAGAGCCTGCCTGATTCTCTTTTTGTGTTTTAGATAGGGACTCACTATGCAGCCCTGGCTGGCCCCAAACTTGTGGCAATCCTCCTGCCTCAGCCTCCCAAGTGCTGAGATTACAGGGGTGCACTCTCGCTCTTTACATAATCTTCCATGTAGTCCTTTTATCCTCTCACAGTCACAACTTTTAAAAGATAAAGAACATTCAACAAAGGAAGGTAAGAAGCTGAGCATAAAGCCAGGCACGGTGGTGTATGACTGTAGTTTCAGCACTCAGGAGGCTGAGGCAGGAGGATTGCTGAGTTTGAGGCCTTTAGTGACCTCCAGCTGCAGCCAGAGATGCCCAAGGGAGGCCTGCAGCAGAGGTGACACAGGGCTGCACAGCTGGAAGGGTTTCGGGTGGCTTGAAGCAAACAGTGCCTGCACTTTCCCTGAGCCTTCTCCACACCCCACCAAGATGGAATCTCATCGTCCGGTTCCAGACGAAGAAACTGAGGCCCAGGTCTGAGAAATAAGTTGCTTGAGTTGACACAGGTCAGGCTCCCAGGCTGGCCTCTCAACTCTGACTCTTCCTTCCCACCTCCTGGCACAGCTGGGACTGAAGCAGCAGAGGAGACTCCCAGTGAGTGCCCAAGCGCTAGGGTGTCACTAGTCCATGTGGCTTCTGTGCCCGGGGATGGGAATGGCCTTTCCAGGGATCCCTGGGATCCCTTCACCTTGGCAGGGGGCTGGGAAACCCCGGCGAGGCCTCTGGAAGGGAGTTCTGAGGTTCTGGTCACTCTAGAGCCAGGAAGACGGTGTGATCTTGAGCTCATGTATTTACCTTTCTGATACTGAGGCTCTGTACCCGAGAGAGGGAGAGACTGGGGTCAAAAGGAACTACGGGAATTTTCTCTAACAGCAACAGTCCTAGGCAGAATTCCTGGGGACACCAGCTGTCTCCTCACCCCAAGCCACCGGACAGGAAATAAAACACTGGAAATAATTCTTTTATTTAGGGGCAGAGCCTGGCTAGGTTGGTGGGGAGCAGCAGCACAGACCCCAGGCACTAGGCTGGGTGCCAAGCAGTCACTGGATGAGCCACAGCCACGACGATGTAGTTGAAGGATGCTCTCAGCTGCAGGTGCCAGGCCAGGAGGAGGGGGTGTCAGGTATCGGGCACTCAGCCTGCTCAGTGGCCACAGGGACCCGAAACTGGTGGTGAAAGCTTCTCCCACCCAGTGCCCACAAGGTGGCCAGGAGGGTGGCCTCTGCATCCTCCTTCCCTCAGTATGGGGTCCAGGCCCAAGGGGAGGCCACACAGAGAGGATATTTAGGGGGTGATCCAGTCTCAGCCAGGGGAGGACCCCCACCCCCAGACAGCAGGCACAGCTGGAAGAATAAACACTTGAATTAAGCTCCCCTCACACACACACAGGCCTTGCACAGCCACCCTCTCCAAGGAAACCACACAGAGCACGCAGCCAGGCCGGAGATTTGCCTGGGCCATCACCTACTGGTTCTCCTCCCTGCTGGCAGCATGAGGGGGCAAAGACACAGGGGCTCAGCGGGCTCCCCGACCCTGAGCCCAGTCTGAGTCCTGGTCCCAGCCAGCATCTGGCAGAGAGAGCTCCCAACTGGAGGAGTAAAAAGGGATGTGGCTCACTCACATGGGGACATTGGGAGGGAGTCCTTGTCCTTAGGGCTGACCCTGGGCAAGAGGGAGCGTGGGGTGAGCTGGGACAGCCCCGCTGGCCAGGGACTCACAGTGTCTGGTAAGTGCTGTCTTTGGCCTTGAGGAAGCGCAGTGCAAAGAAGACCACTGCCTGCAGGCTCAGCACCAGCACCACACCGCCGATGAAGCTGGGGCCATCGAAGCCAGGACTGCAGGTTTCTGGAACTGTGGGGCTCCCTGCAGGGTGAGGCAGGGTGGAGGTCACAGCAGACCACCATGGACCAGAATCCCAGCCCACATCTGGTGCAGGACACTCTGAGGCCCCAGCTCTCACTATGGGCCAGCTCGGCCCTGCAGGCAGAGGGGAAAAGACAGAGCTGTGTGGGGTGTGGCCCTGTCCAGTCTGGCCCTGCAACTGAGTTTCTCTGTGGCTTTACACCAAGCACACCCTTTCTGGGCCACCTGATCACACGGGCCCAGTAGGTAAGTGGACCAAAGAAAGAGCAACCAAGCTCCCCTCCAGCCTCAATCTCACTAGTGCAGACGGGCGAGGACGGGTTCAGCACTCAGGCACCCTGTCCACAAGGCCTTTCAGCTGAGGGGCTCAGGGTACAGTGCCCAGGTGCAGACGATGAGTTCCATTTTTCAGGACTCCGAAGAGTGAGAAGCAGAGGGGAAGGGGAGGCCTAGGGCCAATGCCCTACAGAAATGATGGGCCAGCCTTGGCCGAAGTCACCTCACAAGTAGGTAGAACAGAGTTGGACTCCCCCAGGCTTCCTGGACCCTTTTCTCTGCTCCTCAGAGGGTAGAAACTTAGGGCCACAGTTGCCAGGCAGGGTCTGGGTGGCTCTCAGCTGTGCCACATTACCTATCAACTCCCACCAGGGATTCGATTTCAGGCTCTGGGCCAGGCGCCCGGGGGTGGGGTGGGGCTATGGGTGGAAGATCATGCTTGGACAGTGGACAGGAGTCCGGCTGGGAGCAGGGTCCACTTCCCAGAGGTTGTGGGTGGTGTAAGGAGGGTCTGAGAATATGAGGACAAAGGATGGCCCCACTGTAGCTCAGGGAGCCCCAGGGAAGAGTACTGGAGAGGAGGAGCAGAAAAGGAAGAAGTGAGCCACAGTCTGAAGATCTGGGGCTCCAGCCGAGGCAACCATCAATAATTCAGCCTCTGAGATCAGTTTCCGGCTTTAATTAACCAAAAGCCTCTTCAGTCACCCTGGCCAAGTCTGGTGACCTCCAGGCCCTGAGGGGCGGTGGGAACAAAGGGCCCTGCTCTGCCGGGAATCTACCATAGCCCCCTGGCCTGCCCGTTGCAGTAGGTGGTCACTGAGGACATCTCATTAGCAGCCAGAGCCGCATACCCTCAGCTCCTCAGAGGCCCTGAGTTCTCACCACAGGTGACAGACAGGAGGGATGGGAACCACCATTTCTTGGTCACCCTCAACAGACACACAATGGGTCTTACACAGCACGAGGCACAAAGTGAGTCTAGAAGTAGGAAAGGGCAGCACAGAGCCCAGACCTGGTGCCCAGCAGCAGTTCATAAAAAAATAGGATTTTCAGGGCATGAAAAAAAAAATCATAAAAATCATCAGGACTGTAGAAATTATCCAACCCATTTGACAGATGTGGAAACAGGTGTGAGGCAGAAGTCAGAGGGCTGAGGCCATGGAACACATCAGTGCCAATGTCCGCTCTGTCCCCTACACCTCTGGCCCTCTCATCCCCACTCCAGGGAGCACCCACCTGTTGTGATTGTCTTCGGTTCATAGGTGGGGTGGTGGTAGGTGGCTGAGGAGACAGAAACCATCATAAAACAGCCCTCCCCACTCCCTGGCTGCCACCAAGACCACAGCCCCAGCCAGCAGCAGGACCTCGATTTGGAGTAGGCCCTGGCCCAGCTCGACATCCCTCAAACTTTCAAGCCTGTCTTATAGTTCCCTCACCCAGATATGCCCTGTCTCCATGTCTACCTACAAGGCTTATCTCTGATGCCACCTCCTCCAGGAAGTCCCACTCCCTTCCTTCTGAACTTCTGAAGCCCCTTGCCATGCCTTCTGTCGGAAAGGTTAACGCTCCCTTTCCCTCTGCACACCCGGACCAATTTACAGATGAGGAAATAGGCCAGAGAAGGGAAGGAATTACTTCACAAGCTACAGGTAGAGTTAAAATTGGTCCCAGGTGTCTGTGGGCACAGTTCACGCTCCGAGAGAGGCTTGGAGAGTCCTCAGCCCCCACCCTCCAGTTTGGCTTAGGCCAATGGGAACTCCCTTACCAGGGCAGGACTCTGAGCGGTTGTAGACCGAGCAGCCCTCCTTGGCCACCTCAGAACGGGCCACACAATGTCCTGGTGGAAGAAGTTGCAGGGGAGCAGTCTGGGGAGAAGGTCAAGGCCTGGGTTTCAGAGCTGGGGTCCTTGGGCTTGGGGAAGGCCCAACTCCATACCTGGCTTCTCCGGCTGACACTGCTGCCACACACAGCCAGAGCGGTTGTGTGCTCTGTCCCCCTCCACACATCGCTCACAGGGCTCCAGCGGTTTGCAGCCCCCTTGGACAGCAGGCCAGATGTTCAGACGGATCAAGGCTCCCCGCCCAAAGCCTCGAGCTCCTTTACCTGGAGTGGGGAGGGAATGGGAAGGGAGCCGCTCCCTCACTACTGCGGCTCCCACCCCTCTGCACACACCTGGAGCTTCCTCGAGCCCAGGGTCACACCCACCTAGCCTCCTCCACTTCCCCCAGAGCCTCCCTTTGCACACACCTGGGGTTCCCAGGTACACTTGGAACCACCTCCTCCAGACACACATGAAGCTCCCTAATCCCCCACCTGGGGTGTGTGTGTGTGTGTGTGTGTGTGTGTGTGTGTGCGTGTGTGCGCCGGAGGCTCCTTCTCCTACTCCTGTAGCCCTGGGTAAGCGGCCGGGTGAGGGGCCTGCTCCACTTATCCCTGCCCGGCCCTTAACCAGACCCCGCCGCACATTACCAGCCACCGCGAGCTGGGCACACAGGAGAAGGCAGCAGAAGCCTCCACACAGCGCAGCCCGCAAGGTGCGGGGTCTCGGCGCGGCCATGGGAGCGGGGTGAGGGCTGGGGGTCGGCGGACAGCTGATGGGGCTGCGTCCCTTCTGGACTGGCTCGCGGGAGCCGGTGTGAGCAAGACTCGGGCGATTGGGTCGTGGCCGGTCTGGGGGCGTGGCCAATGGGAAAGCCAGATGAGGTTGGGCTCTTTGGGAGGGTGGAGCCAACGTGGGCGTGGCCGGTCAAAGGTGTAGCCCTGTTCCGCAGTCTGGGCGGAGCGTGAGCAAAAGGGGCGGGGTCTAGCGCTAGTTCAGTTAGCTCACCGAGAGTTCCCATCCACAATTTTTGAAAATCGCTAAGTAGCGCTACTGTTTCCAACCCTCCTCTCCAGGTAAGGAAACTGAGGCTCAGAAAAAGTGAGTGTCCAGACTGAGGTCACAGTGTCAATATCTAGATTTGAAATAAACTCACTTTCTTGTCCTTAGGCCTTGGCTCAGACAAGGACTTGTAGAGTCCTTTCCAACCATGCCCACCTTTGGTGTTCTCTGCTTTTTCAGCCCACCACATCCTCTGGCCAATCATGTGTCACCCCCTTACTAAGTCAAGTGGACTTTTCCGAAGCCTTCCCCATGGCCACCTTTCCTGCCTGGTACCGCATTCTCTTGGTTCTCCTCCCTTCTCCGCCACTTCTCAGGTTCTTTAGGGAGAACCTCTTCTTCCTCTTCTCCCTCCTCCTCCTTCCCCTAGCCCCGTCTTAATCAGTGGTGTCCCAGTTTAGGTCCGAGCCCTAGGCCACACTCTTCCTGGGGACATCTTGGGAATCTCTCAAGCATCAGTCCTCATTTAAAAGCCAACAAGGGCCAGGAGCTGTGGCACATGCTTGTAACCCAGCACTGAGGGAGGCTGTGGCAGGAGGGTCGCAATTTCGGAGTCCTGCCTGGAAAACTTACTGAGACCCCGTCTCAAAATAAAATGTTCTAGGTAAGTGGTAGAGCACTCGGGTTCACAAGTTAAAACAAGACAAAAACAAATCTCTAATCTCCGTCTCCAGTCTAGTTCTGGCTTCCCAGCTATCACGCCTGTAACTAATAACATAGCTAATCATTGGCCACTTATTGCTAAGTGAATACACATTCCACTAAGACCTTTTACTTGGCAGCTTCTAGCCCAGTGTCCACAACTACCCTTTGGGCATGATTTGTGTCATTTCCAATTTGCAGGCTGCTCAGGGGTCCAGTTCTGTCTTCTGCTGTCCCTCCTATGGGTCCCTGGTTCCTTGGCACCTCCACTCAGGTGCCTTCAGACCCTTGCAACTGCCTTGTCCCTTTTCCCCATCCACAGAGGCCCCATTTATCCACCCTGTCACCCAGGATGGGAACTACAGCACCTTCACCCCACCACACACAGATCATCTCACCCCCCCCAGATTAAAATCCTGCAGAGCCTCCTTGGTCCTTGTCCCCCTCCTCTGCCTGTCACACACAGCCTCTCCCAGCCCCTCCCCAAGCTGGCCCTCAGAGTGCAAGGCTCTCCTGAAACCAGGCATTTAGCCATGTCTCTTCCAGTTACTAACTTTCCAACAATGGCTTGGCCTCCACAACCTTTTGATTCCTGCCTTTACAAGTCTCGTTAGCCTTTCTTGGGCTCTGCCCATCACCTTCTTTCTGCAGCACCCCCTCCTCCTTCACCCTAGCTCCTCTCTCCTGAGGGGCTGCCTCCACCCCTGACTCTGCCTGGTCGAATGATCCTTCAAGTCACCAGTAAGACTGAGCTTGGAAAATAAGTCAGATCACATCAGTCACCTGCTTAAACCTTCAACACCTCCCGTCTCACAGCTTTCTCCACCCCACAGGGATCTTGCTGCAACTCACATCAGTCACCTGCTTAAACCTTCAACACCTCCCGTCTCACAGCTTTCTCCACCCCACAGGGATCTCTTGCTGCAACTTCTCTGGGCTCAACCTTCTCCCCTGTGCAATATTGGCTCCTTTTGCTCATTTAGGCTCCTCTCTGATCCTCAGGGGCTGTGCCCTCTCCTTGAAACTCTTCTGTTCTCTTAAGTGACTCACTCTATGACTTCCCTTACCTAAGAGAGAGCCCCTGGTTATTCTACCTCACAGCACCTGCTTTTCCCTCTGAATCATGTGTCAAATGTTTAACTCATGACCCTTTTGTTTTCTGGGATGTAAGCTCTAAGAAGGCGTATCTCCTTCTCTAGTGAACTCCTCACACATGGTACAGGCCGACTAAATGTCTATTAGTAGTCATACTGCACCGTGTTGTGGTAACTTGTGTACATGTTTGTCTGGGTCAGTGGGCTTTGAGACCCTCAAGGGCTCCCTACTTGAGATATTAAGTATCTCTGTGTAGATTGTCCGTCTCTTCCCCCCTAGAGTGGAAGATTTTTGAAGACAGCAGGGATTTTTGTTCACTGCTGTGTCCTCTGTGCCAGGCAAATAGTAGATGCTCAGTAATTATGTGTTGAATGTTGGAAATACAGAAATATGACCAGATCATCTCTCCTGAGCACCTACCAAAAACAAGGCCAGGGGACTGTCAATGAATTTTGGTTGAATGAACGAGCCTGTGCTAAGGATGCATGCCATGACGACGTCCAGATGTCCTGGGTTTTGGACAAGAGTGGAGTTTATCTTTCTTTCACATACAGATGCACACACACCCACATCCACTCTCCCTGTAGAACTCCCTGTAGAGTTCAGATTAGTGAAAACAGAAGAGGTAAGCACAACCTGGAATTGAGGGCTCACAGCCATCTGGTGGCCATATGGGGAACTGCAGGTATTGTCAGCCCTAGAGAACTTCACCGTCTGCCCCTTCTAGGTAAAGGGAACATCTAGGCTAGAGTGGAAGGGCTCCTGGACTTGGTTAGATAGACCTGCCTGGCTTCCGATCCCAGCTCTGCCATTTACTGTGTGATTAGGAGTAAGTCCCTTGGCTTTTCGAGGCTTCATCTATGAAAATGTCCCTTAACTTTTCAGAATTATCAAACACCGGCATGGGAAGTTTTGGTACATGAGAGGAAGCACATACATGAAAATCCATGGTCTCATTCAGTCTCTTGGATTTGGCCTTTAACTTATTATCTAGCCCAGGCTGGCCTTGGGCTTGTGGCAATCTTCCTGCCTCAGCTTCCCAAGTTCTGGGATTTTAAGTGTGTGCCAGCACACCCGGCTTCATTCCTGTTTTATAGATGGGAAAACAGACACAGAGAGCCTGAAAAACTCCCCAAAGTCCCCAAAGGGAATGGAGGACTTGGGATTTGAAACTAGTCTGCTCCTGGTATCCCAACCTGAAACACATCATACTCCCCAGTCCAAGTCCTCCCCTCTCCCCATGTTCCCTGCCTCTTGGCCTCACCTCTGCCCCTCATCTGAACCACAGTGGACCCCGACTGTGGGGGCTGTAGTGGTGCTGGGATAGGGAAAGAAGTCACAGGTTTTCTCAAACCCTAACTCAATCCCTCCTTCACCCCCTCCCACAGACCTAGGTGATTCCAGCCAGGATCAAAGCTGGAGCCACAGGGAGGAGGGGCTGCTACCCTTAACTCCAGGTCACATCTGATGAAATCTGCTGGGGTGGTTCCTGGTTTTAAGGAGAGGCAGGGTTAGAGCAGGGGCCCTTTCTCCTTGGCTCACCTCACCAGGGAGCCTAAGATTGGAGGCTGAGGGGGTGGGGGGAGTCTTCCCTGAGATCTGAGCTGCCAGGTTTTCCCCTTTCCAAGTTCTTCCCGGCTCCCCAGCTCCTGCTGCTTCGGGGAAGTGGCCCCCACCCTACCCTGCTGGCCTTCCAGATCCTTGAATAAATAATTCAGGTCTGCGATCTTGCCAGGCCCTCTCCCGTGCTGTGCGGGCACCATTGGACCGACTCGAGTGACGTCACCAGCTCCTCATCTTGCCCCAGCGTCACGGGACCTGTCCTGGCAGTAGATCACCCGCCTGGTCACTGTCTGTTGGGCCCTCTACGTGTTCCCTCACCCTGGGGTCACTCAGCAGTCACCAGTACCTTCATTCCAGGACCCTACAATCCTCGTCATTAACTCTTGTTACCTCAGAACCTCGGCACTTGGCAGGATCTTGGTCCTGAGGTCCCTTCATTCTTGCCATGTTCTGCCACCCTGGGAGCCCCGAGCTCCCTCGCTGCAGTGGCCCTGACACTGCAACGGTTGCCTTGGGAGTCCTACCCTCTACTGTCAGTGTCCCACGCTTGCCATCCCCCCAAATCCTGTCACCATGCTTACTCGTCACTGCCACCCACCTCCCTGCTTTCTCGTGCTCCTGTCCCTGTCACCTCAGAGCCCATCATCGGCAACCCCGTCAGCCTCACCAGAGACGCCCATTCAGCCCCATCACTCGGTCTCCTGGATTCCTGCCACCCGAGGGTCCCAGCACCCCACAGCTTGTTCGAGTCCCCCTGCCGCTCCGCCAACTATATTCCCTGTAGGTTTCCTGAGACTTCTCCAAGGCTTTCCCGCCAGTGGCCCGAGAGCCCCAGCCCGCAGAGGGCGCCGCATCAAGGGCAGCGAGAGCCCAGTCCGGAGGGGGCGGGGCCACAGCCACGGATGCTTTTTATGAATGGGGGAGCGGGCCGGGTGAGGCCTCATTACTATGCCGCGCAATGCACGCTGCGCCCCAGCGCGCCGCTCCGATTGGCCAACCGGGTGGCAGACGTCACCGAACCGTTCACGCCGCTTCTCCCGCGGCCGCGGGGGCTTCTCGGGGTCCGCGCACACCTTGCACTGCCAGGACCCGAGTGGAGCTTCCCCGCGGCCTGGCCTCGTCCGATCCCGAGTGGTGAGTGATGGGCCTTGCCGCGGGCACCTAGTATCGGCGAGGGCACCCGGGATGCTCGGGTACTGGGCGGGTGGAAAACTCCTTGCGGCTGGACAGGGTTGGAGGTCGAGGCTGGGATTCTGGGTTAGCAGGCGTGGCCCTAAGTGTTTGGGTGCTGGAGCGGCGAGTTGGGTGACCCAGCAACGGGCGAACCTTCCTGTAGGGATCCGAGGCCCTGGAAGGAAGGACAGTCATTTTACGTTGAGTGGGCAGGAGGAGTCCGGGGCAGGAGGTGTCTGATTTAGGGATTTGTTATCCAAGCAAGAGGTGGAGTCAGGCCATAGATCCAGGTGTCCCAGCAAACGGAGTCTGGATCAGAGATCCAGGCTTCCAGCAGGGGGTGTCTGTTGCAGAGACCCAGGGAGTCTGGACAGAAAGAAGGGTCCATTGGGGACAGAAGTCTGGGAGAGGGTGAGTGGGGGGCTGAGTTCCCAGGCATTACCCCAGGAATGTTGGTTGGGGGCTGGCAAGAGCTTCACGAGCTTTCCCTGGGGGCGGAGCCTGGAGCTGGCAGCATTGAGAACCGTGAGGGGTTTGGGAGCCTCAGAAACAGAGTCATCCTCTCGGGTGGGAGGGAGCAGAGTCGCTCTCAGTCTCAAGATGTTTCCCTCCCCCCCCCCGCTCTTGAGCCTTACTGGGCATCCCCTAGATCTGTGGTTCCTGGTTCACTTAGGGTAGCTCTTCATCTGGATATCCTTTGGTCGCACATGCTGGGGAAAGGGCCTGTGGGACCCAGAGGAGTGGAAGGGAGTGTGAAGAGATCTAGGGCAGGGATCCCCAGGGAATGAGATCCCTCTTGAGAGGCCTAGAGGCATTGGAGAGGACCAGTGTGCCCTGAAAAGAGCCTAGGACATGAATTAGTGGGGTGGGAGGGTATCGGGGTACGCTATCTGGGGGCACCTTGCCTACTCCAGACCCCTCCTGTCAGCACCCAGCCCTGCCAGCATCTCACAGGGCCTTTCTCCTGCAGGTACCATGATTCGGGGTTCAGGCAGCCCCCTGGCCTGGCTCTCATCTGGCCCGGGCAACGTGAATTTGAGCAGCTTAGGTCCAGCAGAGGGGCCCACAGGCTCAGCTGCATCACTGCCCTCGCCCAGGGCCTGGGATGTGGTGCTGTGCATCTCAGGCACCTTGGTGTCCTGCGAGAATGCATTGGTGGTAGCCATCATCGTCGGCACTCCTGCCTTCCGTGCTCCCATGTTTCTGCTGGTGGGCAGCTTGGCCGTGGCAGACCTGCTGGCAGGCCTGGGCCTGGTCCTGCATTTCGCTGCTGTCTTCTGCATCGGCTTGGCGGAGATGAGCCTGGTGCTGGTTGGCGTGCTGGCGATGGCCTTTACCGCCAGCATCGGCAGCCTGCTGGCCATCACTGTCGACCGCTACCTTTCCCTGTACAATGCCCTCACCTACTACTCGGAGACAACAGTGACTCGGACCTATGTGATGCTGGCCTTAGTGTGGGGAGGTGCCCTGGGCCTGGGACTGCTGCCTGTGCTGGCCTGGAACTGCCTGGATGGCCTGACCATGTGCGGTGTGGTGTATCCACTTTCCAAGAACCATCTGGTGGTCCTGGCCATTGCCTTTTTCATGGTGTTTGGCATCATGCTGCAGCTCTATGCCCAGATCTGCCGCATTGTCTGCCGCCATGCCCAGCAGATTGCCCTCCAACGGCACCTGCTACCTGCCTCCCACTACGTGGCCACCCGCAAGGGCATTGCCACACTGGCTGTGGTGCTTGGCGCCTTTGCCGCCTGCTGGTTGCCCTTCACCATCTATTGCCTGCTGGGTGATGCGGAGTCCCCACGCCTCTACACCTATCTCACCTTGCTCCCCGCCACCTACAACTCCATGATCAACCCCATCATCTATGCCTTCCGCAACCAGGATGTGCAGAAGGTACTGTGGGCCATTTGCTGCTGCTGTTCCTCTTCCAAGATCCCTTTCCGATCTCGCTCCCCCAGTGACGTCTAGTTACCGTGTGGTGACTCTGCAACCCTATCACTACAGAATTCCAGAATGAATGTTAGATCCTCCAGGTCTTCGTTCCAAGCGCCCAGCTCCACACCCCCAAGACCCAGCTGGTTCTGGAGTTCTAGGACATTGGGTGTTTCAGGTTTCTGTTCAAGATCCCTGCAGGGGCCCAGCTGGCTCCATGGTTCCAGAACTTTCCAGCTGGTCAGGATTCCACTTAGAAATGTCCCACTGCCCAGCTAGCTCACAATTCCAGAATGCTGGGAATTTTACAGTGCCATTCCAAAGTCTTGACCTTTCCCCTCCCTCAGACTTGACCTTGGCCGCGTCACTTTATTTTTTAATTTCTAAGCTCAAGAGTCAGAGTAGTCACTTAGTTGCCTAAATAGAAGAAAGATTTATCTATATATATGTGCACATAAAGAAAATATATTTATTATTTATTTATTATAAATTTATTTATGGGTGGTGAGGGGAAACAGAGACCCACACCTTGAAATCTAGGCCATACCAGGGTATCCCTACACCGCCCCCCCCCATTTCTGACCTCAGTTCCTGAAGGGGAGAAATGGAGAAAGAGAAATCATGTATTTTGTTATTATTTTTGCTTATTTTTTAATCGAAGAGATCATAAAAACCAGAGCTTTCTCCCCAGGCCCGCCCCCCTCGGGTTTGCAAGGGGAACACACCAGCCTCTGGTTTTTTATTTTTTTAAGAAGCCATCACCTGAGCAACCGAGAATTCCTCTGCGCTGGGGCGGACTGTCCTCTGGTGGCCCTTTGGGGGAACTGCATCCTGGCCAGGCAGCCAGGACTAGGAAATGAAACCCCAACTCCACTCCAGCCAGGTGTTCAGCGCCACAGCCATGGCCTGGGGAACCAGGCCTCACCTTGAGGTGCCCTAGAGGAGGCGGGGCAAGAGCCAACACCCCACCCCTCTGCCAGCTGGGGTATGGTCCCCGGTGCATTCCCTGTTCCTGTCTCCCAATCCAACTCAATAAAAAATGATTTTGTGATAAAGTGTGTGTGTGTGTGTGTGTGTGTGTGTGGTGTACAATGGGCCTGATGGGGAAAAGCCTGGAATGAAAAGGTCAGGCCAGACTAGGGGGGAGTTGAGGGGGGATCTGCAGAGCTGGGGACCCAGGGTAGAGTGTGGCTGACCCTCCCACTCCAGAATGTCAGCGTCACTCTGGTCAGACCTGGGCATCACCTGACATAGATCTCACCTCCCCCTGGGGACAGGAACCAGGGTGCTGGGCTCTTTTACCCAATTGGCCAGTTTGGGCTCTGGCATGAAGATTATGACATGCTAACAGCATATCAGTTTCCTTCAAAATGATAACTAACCCCTTCTTGCAGTGGGTGGGTACTATGGGCTGGGCATGGGGCTAAGGGAACTGTACATGCCACCTCCATATGGTAGCAGGCATCCCCGGGCACATATAGTATCATCTCCAGTTTACAGCTGAGGAAACTGAGGCTGAGAAACCACCAGTAATTGGCCCAATATCATATAGCCAGGAAACGAGTCAGGATTCAAACCAGGAACATCTGTATCCAGAATCTGTTCTCTCTCCTGGGCAGTAACCTTTCATTTCCTTCTTTCCTAAGCCCAGGGCTAAGGACATTCTACCCCTGATTTCTATCCTGGGACCAGAGGCCCACCTTTGAGAGGTGGTTGCACTGGGCCTAGTCATTGTGGAAAAGCTTATTTCCCATGCAGAGGTTAGTGGCTGTACAGTGTGTATTTGGGGATGTGAGTTTTGGTTTTTGGGGTGGGGGGCGGGAGGATCCCAGGCAAGGGCAGGGCAGGTGTGGGGTGTGGCTCAAGAGGAGTCTCTGATTAGCCTAGTCCCCAGTCTTCCAGGTTGAAAGTTGGGCCTCCAAAACCAGAGTGCTTCCAACCCATTCTGTCATTGTACAGATAGGGAATCTGAGGTCCAAAGAGGAGCAGCTATTTGCTCAAGATCACTCACTTGTGCCAGGGGAGGACAGAGGTCTTTTGGGCAGGGACAAGCCCAGTTGTAAAGTGGGGAGGCCCCCCAGGTCAGGCTGAGCTTTACCCTTCCTCCCCACCTTCCCTCGGAAAAGAACTTCCTTCAGGCCAGACTTTGAGCCAAACGCTTCTCACACCATCACCAAGAGTTAGTTGGACAGGTGCTAGTGCCTGCCCTACTTCTTGAAGGAAGAAGTTGAGGCTCTGAGAATAATAGGTCTTCATCCATTTACTGATGTCCTTGTGGACAACTTAATGAATAGCAGGAGGAAATAGCAAATAAATAGGTTTTTCAAAAAGTGTAATGCTGATGGTACATAAAGTGGGGAAGAATAAAGAATATATGAGTAGTTTTTAAATGAAGATACTCAAAAGTAAGGCCTCCCTGCAAGGTGACGTTTATCTACCCAGTCATATGCTCGGGAGTTGAGCTGGGACTTGAACTCAAGTCATCTGACTCCAAATCTATGTCTTTTCTGGCTGAGGGAGTGGGTTTCAGCAATGGTTCAGAAACAGCAGACTGGGAAACAAGCAGGACGGGTTAGGGAAAAGCTAGGGTTCTCCAGGTTATACCCAGGCCTTTGGAGGAGTAATGCAGAGTAGGGTCCCCCTGCTGCCTTCCTCATGCTCCCAAGCAGTCCCCACCTGGGTCCAGAAGTGTGTGGGGACCAGGTACCCACTCTAGCTGGGAGCCACTGGATCCCGTTCTTCCTCATCCCAGCTTCCAGGGTCAGGGCCCAAACAGGGAACTTCTGCTTGCCCCCCTGTGTCTGAAGGGTCTGCACTGGGCCCTTATGGTGAGGATCTTTGTCTGTCTGGGGGATGGTTGTGTGGTCCATCTGAGGCATTTAGGGGAGCCTTGTATGAGGTGGGCTGCAGACAGTTCTGCCATCCCTATACCCTGCCACATGCGTCCTCCAGGAAGCGCCCCTGGCTGAGCCCTGCTGCGGCTCTGAAGATGTGATTCATCCATGTGTCTCCTATGTAGCTCCTTTGAGTGACTGTGTATACAAGAGTCTTGCCTTCCTCCTCTGTATGGGGCCCTGGAGGGCACAGCTCTGCCCCTCTGCCAACTGAGGGTCCCTGAGAGAGGGGACACTTTTGTCCCCTCAGACTGAAGGATCCTGGAAGCTGACTGCTTTGCCTCTGCTCAGAACAAGGGGCTCCAACCCACACGGGGGCCCCTGAGACACAGGTTGTGCCTCCTGCATTAGCTAGAGGGCCTCTAGGAACAGGGTCATGTCTTTTATCTGACTGACATGAGGGCCCCTGTGGGCAAGACTGTGTTGTCCCCAAACTCTGTGTCTGTCTCCTGCAGCCTCAGACTCCTTTGGTGCTCAGCCCAGGGCTGCTCTGCATGTCATGCACATGTATGTGTGTGCTTGTGAGGCCGTGTGTGTGTGTGTGTGTGTGTGTGTGTGTGTGAGTGCCTGTGTCTGGGGAGGGATAGCCAAGCTTTCCAGCCTTTCCTGGCCTCTGCCAGCTTTTCAGTCCTGATGCCTGATCCCACCCAGCTAGAGGCCCAGGAGGGGAGCTGGGCAGCAGGCTCCGAGTTCAGGGAGGCAGGGGTTCCTTTCTTGCAGGGCTAAGCCCTGGGATGGGGCTGGGGTCTTCCCCCCTTCTTCTTCCCAGGTCTTGTGTGGGTCAGGTGGGGCAGCCCTGAGCATCAATCCTCCATCGGGGCCATGACCGCCTCTCTCTGCAATAAGTGTGGAGACAGCAGCTATTAATATAAGATGAGTTCACGGGCTTGCAGCTTCTGCAGGCTGGAAAACAAGCTCCCGGGGCCGGGGGCTGCGGCAAGGCTCGTCTGTCAGATTCCCTCCTGGAGCCTGGAGCCTGCCAGCCCCACATCCCCAGCTCCTCCCATGCTGAGACCTGTGAGCACAAGGGCACGTGCGCATGGGGACACACAGGGCACACGCATGCATGGGCACTGCATGGCTGTTCAGACAGCACACGCACGCACACGCATACAGACATGCATGTAGACCCAGGTGCACACAGGTACATCAGTACACGTGTGTACACGGACATCAGCTTCATGTGCACATGAGCGCATGCTGGAACACACACTTGAATCTACGTGCATGCTCTTGCATACATTACACACGGGCGCACCCTCAGTACAGTGGCTGACATGCTTGCATAAGCCAACCCATTTGCACACCACCACCCCACACTCAAGTATACAGATACAAACCTGCACAACAGGTGGGAAGTAGTCCTGTCTACACCACTGCACACAGGCCCATGCGTCACACACAGCATACACACGCTCACATATGCTCCCTGCTGCTGTCAGTACTGTGCAATCATGGATCCACCTGCTGACCAGAGATTTCCAGCACCAACAGGCTGGCTCAGCCATCTAGCCCTGCCTTTCCCCTCCCCCAGCCTCGTGTCAGGCAGATCCTGTTCCTGCCAACTCCCCTGCACCTGCCTTGGGCTTCCCATCCCTGGGGGTCCCCAGATCCTTGATTAACCCCTTTGCTAATTGGCCACCAGCCCCGTGACTTTGCTGCAGGCCTTCTTGGGAGCTGGGAGAAAGAGGCTGCAAATGGGCCAAGCAGGATGGGTCTAGGGAGGAGGGAACACGCTGGGCTGAGGCGGGATGGGTCTAGGGAGCAGTGCACACGCTGGGGTGAGGTGGTACTCCGCGTGCCAGGGCTGGGGGATGCTGACATCACGCTCTCTTGGGAGGACAGCGCTGTGACCTGTGTGCCCTGTCATATAAAGCTACTGCGTGCACAAGTGCACACTCACCAGTATGTCTGGGCATGCTTTACCCCCCAGCACATCCGAGTGCATCCAGTGAACACCCCAGGTATGTGTGCAAGCAAAACCTTCCATATGCATTCAGTCACCTGTCAGATAGGCAGAAATTCACCCCAAATTCACACACGCCCATCCTCAGGGGCCAGAGGTGTGGCTCAGCGGTAGGGAATGTGCTTAATCACGTGCAAGGCTCAATCCCTAGTATCCAATAAATACATACACAGAAAGAGACCATACACTCAAAACCTCACAAATGCAGTCACGTGTGTACAGGGTGCAAACACACACACACACTGCTCTACATGTCTATGGGTCTAAGTATTCTTGTAGGCATGCACGAACACACATCCACAGGTGTGCGTGCACACACGGAACCCAGGTATTCACACATGTACTCAACACTCCTATATTTACATATCTTGATGAAAAAACTACCAAGTGGCCACAGGCTTGGGAGAAGCCCTTTTAGCCTGCTTTTGGTTTTGTATAAAAGAAAATGGAGGTAGCCAGATGTAGCGGTATATGCCACAGTCCCAGAACTGTGGGTGGCTGAGGCAGGAAAATTTGAGCCCAGTCTGGCAACTGAGCAACTAAGGGAGACCTTGTCTTATAAAAATATTTAAAGGGCCAGGGATTTAGCTCAGTGGTTCTGCTGTCTGCTTCTCAAGTGCAAGGTCCTGAGTTTGATCCCCAGTACCAACAAAAAAAAATTTTTTTAGAAAGGGATAGGGATGAGTTGGGCATGGTGGTGCACGCCTGTAATCCCAGCACTTGGGAGGCCGAGGCAGGAGGATCACTGAGACCAGCCTTGGCTACATAGTGTGTTCCAGTTCAGTCTCAACTACATAGTGAGGACCCCCGACACCGCCAAAAAAAGGGATAGGGATGTATCTTAGTGTGAGGGCCCTGGGTTCAATCTTTGATACCACACACACACAAAAGCAAATAAGCAAGCAAGCTGGAGGTTTGCTTAGTCTGTTGGTGGGACTGGGAAGGGGTGGAACCCACCCAGGTCCTCAGGTGCC